GCTAGAACATGGAAATATACATTGCGCACATGCGCGCAGCACACCAGACGTGCGCAGCGCGCACTGCGCACCCAGATGCGCGGCGCACGCCGGTGCGTGCGCACCCTGGGTCTGCACACAGAGCACTGCGCAGCGCACAGTGCCGGTGCGCCTCAAGTATGGTATGATTACTCCTGGAATCAGACGAACACAATAAGTTAAAGAACACCTCCCCCTTCACATTTTGATGCCACTCACGGGTAACTCCTGGGTACCCCATGCGAGCTGGATTGTAACTTTGCAACTGCCTGGAGGCTGAATGGTACACACGTTTAACTGGAAATAAAGTTTAATAAACCGATCAACAACTCAAATACATGCAGATATGACAACATTCAGAGCTAACGCCTTCTTTGAGAAAAAGTTAAAAAAACAAAAAAAAAACGCTGTCTGGTAACTCAGGTTAAATGCTGCATTTGTACTGCAGAAATTCATACAAGGCAGCGGACTAGATTACGTGCGAATCGACGGAAGCACAAACAGCATAGACCGGCTCAAAGCCCTGCACATGTTCCGGGATCAGGTCCAGGTGAGTCTATTTGAACTGAACACAATTATGAACTCTGTGAAGTCCTTCTCTGGTCGGTAAAAGGGGACACAGCTTCTCATTTATTTCTTATATATTTTGGACACAGTTTGAAGTCCTGGCTTGTCGACGGATGATTGCAGGTGTGGGGGAACTAAGTCTGAATAACCCTTGACTTGTCATTTATTTCATATATATAGTCAAACAGAGCTGCCCAGTAAACTGTAGGCAGAAAGGGAGAAGATATAAATATAATATATTATTATATTTCTATTAGTGTTTAAACTTTAAACTTTGAATTTGTGGCTTATAAATAATGCATCGTGCTGTCCTTCGGGACATCGATTAAAATTGGTACGATACAGTTTTTTTTGTTTTTTTTTTTTTTTTGGATACAGAGAAGATTTGCATGACCGCTATGAAACAGTATTCACCAGTTCGCAGTAGCTGATGCAGATCCCAGGGCTCGATCCCTAGTTCCCCACCTTACCTGTGTACAGTACCTGTGTCAACCAGTAGAG